AATATGGAAGTAGCCTACTTTGTTTGCTGGTGTTGCTGGCGTGCGTGCCACTTTGATCATATGTTCAAGGTGCATGTGCGAATTAGAGTTAATGTCCAATTCCCTGTGAGTGTTGACATATTTGCACGAGAGAGTGTTAAAATTGTGTGTGTGTGTATACGTGTGTGTGAGGCCAAGGTCTCCTGTGAGGAGTGCTAAGCGTGTTTGCATGTGAGTGTGTAGGAGGAGGGGAATAAACGTGTTAGTCAATCAGATGCTAAATGAGGAGTGGACCAGGCGGGCAGGAAGTGTGTGATTGCTAGTGTGTGTGTGTTTACGTGTGTGAATCGCCATCCTAATGAAATGTGAAAGCCCTCCAAGTCACCTCTGCCCTCCCCCCCGCAGTCGTGACTCCTGTCTGCCCCTCCGTCCCTCTGCCTCTCCATTACACACACACACACACAGGTCTCTCTTATTCCCACTGCCACACACATGCACTGACATGCATGCACAGCCCGTGTTAACATTGAAGCGTTAGCGTGGAAAGAGGTGGGTCACAGCCCCTCTATGTCTTTTCTGTCCTGCGAGGCAAGGCTCTCCCTGCATGTTGATAGTACAGCTGGCAGTCCGTGAGCCTCCAGACACACACACACACACACACACACACACACACACACACACACACACACACACAGACATTTACAGCATATACATACATGCATGCATGCAGACAGAGGCACGCTAGGCACTAGGTCATAAGCCGCTGGCGTGAAGGATAGACGGGTCTGACACCAGAAAGCAGACAGCCCTGCTGACATGCACTGAGGAGCATTAGCAGGATAACAATGGCATGTTTCATCCTGACTGCGTGTGTGTATGTGTGAGGATGGGTTCAGGCAATATTGTATGATAACAGCATGCTCCAGAATGAGCATGTGTGAAAGTGTATTAAGAACACCCACAGCACCATGGTGTTGTTTTTGATAGAAAATTTGATTTTTGAACATTTTTGACGGTTGTTCATTACTAAACCCCTCCCCAAACAGCAATCGTCCAATAATGGCTTGGCAACCGTAACTAGAAAGGGCAGACCTGTCTAGTTTTCAATAATTCCACATGCTGAAGAAGCATGCATGGGGCTGCATACTTGGCATTTTCTGTTTTTCCTTAAGCCCTGACCCAAACCACAATGCAAGAGCAGAAGTGTGAGAAAAGGCTGAAACTGTGTGTTTATATGTCCAGTGTCTGACACAATCGTTAGCATGTCACAGAAACTAGATGAGTACAGTGGTTTCTTTGAAAGCCAATAAGAATGGTTTCATCCAACATTATTTCGTGTTACAGGTTACGTTAAAGAACGCCATGATCATACATGGCACGTTTCTATGGCACTGTGTGGAAGCAGACAGCCCTGGACGCTGCTGCAGCGACAGTGAATACTAATGCGAGTGGTTCTCCATCCAAAGTCATGACCGGAGATAGAGTTATCTCTAATCAAACACAAGCGTTGGTTATTGTTTGAGAATACAAACAATACAGGAAATATCTAACATCTTGCTCAGTGCTCAAGTATGTAAGATACAGTTACAGTGAAAATAACAGTAGACAAGAGATGACGTCACACCAGGTGAGACTCCCACAATCTTCTTATTTCCACCCTGGGTAGGAGGCCATTCTTCAGTTTGTGGGAGCCTCGACTGCTGTGTTGACATCTTTTGTCTTCTGGTTTTCCTCACTTCTGTCCAGCACCTAGTGCCCATCAAGTGTGGATGTGCGTGCTTTTTTCTACTTTCAGAGTGAAGTAAAACATTGTTTTACTATCGTTATTGGAGAGTGTGGTCTTTCAAATTGAGAGCAGGACTTATTGATTTCAATAAGGTTCTGTTTTGTGAGCTGAAGAGCTGAAACTGGAGCACAAAATATCTTTCCAAGCAACAATATATCTGCAAGCACACAGTTTGAGCACAAGCAGAGCAAATGTAAGCACAAGCAGAGGCTGTGTACTTTTACTTGGATACGTTTTTGGCTTGATAGATTTCTGGTGTTTCAGCTTCAGCTCTGCTCTCAAACCGAAATAAACTTAAAATAATAGTCTCATCTTTCAACTTCCCTCATCTTACTCATAATACTGGCACCAACTAGCTCCATTTAACACAAGAACAAAGCTGTGTCTATGTTTCCATGTCTTCAATGTGGTTTACCAGCTGCTGGTGATACTGACACTGTGCCTGGGACATGCTGCCTTTATTTACCTCTATTTAAAAAAGGAAACCTATTACTATTGTTAATTGTTTAAAAACTAGATAGGCTACTGTGCATGGAGCCTGACAGGCTGAGCATCAAGGGGACTGGGGCTCAGAGGGAGTTTTGACTGTATAATATAATGTATATGATGAGTGTATTCTATATAAAATAAGATAAGACAATCCTTTATTAGTCCGACAATATGCAGAGTTAGAGCAGCAAGAACATGGTCAAAAATAGACATCAGAAAAGTAATAATAAGTGAACATGCAATACTTATAAATGTAAGGAAATAATAATATAGAAATCTGTATATACAGTCAAAGTAGAGAAAATGAGTCCTTTCAAAAAAGCTTTCACCAGTAGTACAATTATTTTTAATGGAAACATTCATGTAGGAGTGTAATTATTCCTAGTTATTTATTAATGTGACTACATTTATATAATTCTTTCATCTTATTTTATAGAGAGATGTAGGTATTAGTAGTAGGAGATGATGGTAAAAGTTATCAATGGTACAAAGGAAACAGGGCAATAAAGACAGAGAACAGAGTAATCTGTCCTTCATACTTCTTGTGAAATCCTCATAAATCGATCAGGATGTCTTTCCTGGCACCCTCCTGAGTCGTCCTCCGGGACCTTCCTGGAAATTCTGTGGATGACAGTCACGGTGCTGGTGAACTCAGAGGGGGTGAGGGCCGACTCATCAAATGTAGCAAGCGTACGTGTGCTTCTTGCTCCAGAAGATGGGTGTGGGAGGGTGGGATGAGATAAACCCTCGTTCAAGCTCAAAAGTTTTTACACATGGTGGCTTTATCTCCAACACGTAGGCAGCGCAGACACTGCTGTGTGCTCACACACACTCACACACACACACACACACACACACACACACCCAGCACATTTGCAGCTGTGTTCCAGATGGGACAGCAGTCCTCGAGTGAATCATACGATCTCTATGACATAACCGTTGCACAGAGCCGGTAGCAAGCAGCACATTTTCCATATTACCATCGGCTCCCACCTCTGTCTGCATTTGACTCCCCTCCTGCACGTTTACTCCCCTCTCTCTGCTCAAGTCTTTTACTTTTTCTGTCCGCCTCCATATGTAGCCCTCTCTGGTTTCTGTTACAGTTTCCTACGTGGTTTGCTCCATTGAGCTGCGTCAATGCTTGGGTCTCTCTTTCCAGCGCATGTGTGTTATGCTTTTTCATTTTACTCCCTTGCAGAGGAATAGTTCAAATAATAAAAATAGTTCAGTTTTTAGTTTCTTCGTTGGGTGGATATATGTGAGGATGGATGGTGGGTGGACAGCTGTCCAGAAACAAAAGCCCAGGAAAAAACACATAAATTAACATGTTATGTCTTATTTGTTTAAAACAATGTTCCAAACATTGTTGCACATTGTACATATTCTTATCATTAACCTATTCACATGTAATTTTGTTTCTTTATCTAATCTAATTTAATTTCCTGACTTTTTTCCACTATGGCCTGGGGAGTAAGGTCTGTCTTACTCCTACTATCAAAGTGTATCTATATGGTGTATCTGTTGTGAAAATCTGTAGACATCATCTTCTTCACCAAGGTGTAGTTGGAAGAGATGTGTCTTTACTCTGCGGCAGAAGACATGTAGACTTTCTGCTGTCCTGGTGTCAATGGGGAGCTCGCTCCACCATTTAGCAAACAGTCGTGATTTTGTTGAGTTATATGTGGGAATATTTGTCGTGCAAGTGCAATGACTTCTTGGTGTTTACCAGGGAACCAGCCAAACTAGCAATGAAATTGGGAACACGCTGCACTTAGCTGATAAGACATAGCTCCAAATATTATCATACATTTTAGCTCTTAATCTTGAAATTGTGTTGTTTTGGTTGAACTATGCTAATCTAATCATGTCCTTGCTCCAGCTTAATTTGTCTATAGATATAAAGGGGCATCTTCTCCTCTAAGGCACTGTCCACTGTGTTTCTGATTCTGATTCTTAAAACAGAGAGGTGTGTGGTCGCCTGGGCAAGAAAGTCAATTAGCAAATTTCCCCAAATGTGAATCTCTTCCTTTGATTAAAGTGTTTTGAGGGTTTGACACAGAGAAAGAGTGTGAAAGGCAGCTGTGGTACAGTGACACTGTATTATTCTAACAGTAAGAAACTTGCCCATATTAGTTCTGTGTATCATTTTTGGGAAGATTGAACAGCCTCATACCCACATGTTTAGACTACAGAATGCAGAGCTGTGTGTGTGTGTGTGTGTGTGTGTGTGTGTGTGTGTGTGTTTTGACTCTTCCGAACCTGACTCACCCAACATTTTCTTTTTATTGTCTTGTCACTCTGTCCCTCTCATGCAGCAGTTGTGTGGCAGCACCAGACCAATAGGTGGAGCTAAAGTCTTCATATTTTCTCGATTGAATTAGTTTAGTGATATCATTAATAAAAATAAGCGTGATTGCTGGTGGCTCCCTATTGAGAGACACTCTCTTGTTTTTCTTCGGAGTTCACAGATCAGAACACCTCTACAGAGCGGGTGAGGATGCAGACTCTTATTGCTCAAGGACACTTCAGCAGGGAGTGTGTTTATCCTTAGAAGGTCATGAACTATGAATGGAGGACAACTATTTGTTCATTACTCCGCCCTGCTGCCTATACACTTCCTGGACTCTGTGTGATTAAAAAGCTTATTTGTCCTCTGCTTTTTTTCTATTCCTCCTCTCAATTATTCCTCTCTCCTCTCCCCTCTTCCCTCTACTCCCTCTCTCACACCACTCTGCCCTTTTGCCAGGAAATGAGGTGATTGACTCCATTTCAAACCCTGTCGCAACACAAAGGCAACCGCTGTGCACACGCTTCCTGTGGAGAACGTACAGGGGATAAAGTTCAGCATCGGTGTGAGTCAGTTGTGCGACAACCCACACACACAAACAACACAGAGGCGGATATGGACATGTGTCCCGAGCATCCAAACAGCCAGCAAAAACACACACATACATACTATATCAAACCTTTCATCTGTAGGTTAATCTGTTAATGTGTATATCAAAGCTTATGCGTGTGTGCGCGTATGTGTTTGGTGAGTGTGTGAGTGTGTGTGTTCGCGTGTAATCTGGTGCATGAACGGAGACCAAGGGGAAGCAATAAATGAAACCTCCGTCCTGGCAACAAGCTGTTTTCCTGTCAACATTGCTGTATCTGTGCAAGAGTGAGTGTGCGGCTGCAATCATTTGTGCCAAACGGTTTTTCCAGGCAGGAAACGGCGAAGTGTCATTCTTTCTATCATCCTCCACCGACGGTCCCTCAGTCAGTGATACAGCAGAAATCTTAATACCATAGCCCACAGCCCTCCAGCTCTCTTTCTCATTGTTTTTCTCCTGTTTCTCTCCCCATCCCTCTGAAGTCTTTGTGTACTTGTCATTTGGAGTGATGGATGGTCAGCGAGGGAGGAGGAAAGGGAAACATAATATGACAGGATAAGTAGAAGAAATGAGTATCGCAGATCAGTAGGAGAAGAGACGAAAACACACAGAAGTTCATACAGAAAGAAGAGGACAAATGTTTTTTTGAGATCATTTTTTGATTTTGTGAGAATACGTTGCTGTGTACACAGGTCAACAAAGCAAGACAATACTGCAGTGCAGTTCTGTTATATTCTGGTTTCAAAATCCAATTAAAGGTTTAAAGGACCCTGCAGTTGTATGAAAGTCCAGATTTAACAATCAATATATTTGCCTTTCATGGTGGGATAATCTGATCCATATAAATGACTATAAATGACGAATCCTGTAAAGAGTCCAAGTGTGGCGTGATGCTTGTACTTGCATTGTTTTAATATTGATCAAGACAGATGTGAGGTCAGTGGGTCAGCAAATCATTGATCTGTGGGGACCACATATGTATTTCATGGCAATCTGGCCTCTGGTCTTTGAGATATCCTGCTCTGGAGCAAAGTTTTGGGCAGATGAAGGGATGGACAGATGGACCAAACGATTGATACTGAAACCCTCTGGTCCACCTCTGTAAAAATATACTCTTTATATCTTTGAATATGATCTTTAAATGAGAGCGAAACCACTGTACGTCCCCATCCACAGTCCCAACACCCCAAATTGATAACAATAACTGGAAAATAACGAGCTGGAAAAAGAAGAGTGGGAGATAAAAAGAAAAAAATGAAAGATATATAACTAGTTACTGACCTGCATTAGGTTTGGCTCAGGGAGTTTCCTGTGGTAAAGAGTAGGCTAGTTTTGTTTTGCTTTTTATTCCCGTGCAATAGCTCTTGGCTGTTTGGAAGTTTTATTCATCAACAACAATAATTCCTGTTCAATATTAAGATTATGAGGAAAATCATGTGTGATTTCCTCTTTTCAAACTGCATTAGATACAATATGAATATAATTGACTGGATGTGTCCACACAGTAATTGCATTTTCACTTCGTATAATTACACAACTGAACAGATTATTACATCTTGTCCAATGCCAACATTTATACCATTTTTAGAGATGCAAGCAAAGCAAACCGTTGCCACTTCCTGAACAGAAAGATCCTCCATGTCCTCTTTTCTCTCTGTTCCCTACGACCTCAAGTTTCTGTGGCTAAAACCTGCACGCCAGGGGTGCCAGGTCACCATGGCAACAACAGCAACACTTGATCGAGGTGTTACCATGGTCAAGAGGCATAATAGTGTCAGTGTCATAGTCAATGTGCACCTTTTTTTTTTTTAGCAATGATATTTTACATTCTCAAAAAAATCCAAGATCCCATATTCATTGCATTCATTCTTGACTCAGTGCCCACCCCACAATATTTAATGGAAATCGGTTGTGTATTTTTTTTGTAATTCTGCCAACAACTAAACAAACAGACAAGAGCATAGCCTCCTCCTTCAGGTAATTATCAAATTCTCAGCATCTCATATCAAGTTTATATTATTTCTATAACCTGAGCAGGATAATGTGGGAGACAGATGCTTGGAAAAGACAATAAAATAAAATCAGTAGAGACAAGGCAGATTTTTTTATAGTTACGTCAAGTGGAGAAATTATACTAAATAGTATAGTATATGATTAATTCATTTTAAAAACAATAAAACATTCCTAACAACAGTTACAATGACAGTGTTTTATTAAAGTAGGCTATAAATAACTTTAAATATAATAACAAAACTCAGGACAGATGCAAGCATGAGAATGAAAAACCAAAAATTCCCTCCACCCTTGTACTCTCCCAGCCAACGCACACAAACAGGTCACATGAGCACATTGAGCCGTGGAAACACTGCCAGTAAGGCTACAGTAGGACATTCAGCCGTCTGCTCCTAAACTGATTAGAATGAGAGAGAGAGATATTCCTGAGGCCTGAGTGAACGAAACAGAGTCTGACGGGGAAAGGAAAATAGCAGATTTCAGTGCAGGAGGGTGACCTGACGGGTCAAAGTGAGGCTTGGGATATCAGCTGGAGGGGGAAAACGAAAGCCATACTGTGTAGACCCTTTGTAAACAGACACTTAAAGGAAACATTAACTTTTATACTAGAGTAAAAACATAACCAAACAGGACTTTGGATTTAAAATACAAAGAGCTACACACAGAGACAATGACAAGTTAAAAAACCTATTGGCAGCAGGGTTAGACACAATACTGAGGGTAGAGGGGTCTCTCTACGATGTGAAGTAGGAGATTTAGAGGGAGGTATCTTTGGCATTCAACCCCTCCAGACCTGCTGGGCTAGTTTCTGGGTCATTAAAATTCCTCCTCTCGTCTCTCCTCTCCGGAGCCACAGTTTCTGCCCCATAGACATGTTGGCTCATGTCCACCTGCTCGGCCTCCCCTCGTCTCCTTCGCCTTCTTTCTTTCTCCCTCTGTGTTATCTCTCTGCTGCAGAGCACACAGTTCCCTCTGTGAGTGAGGGAGAGAAATTTCTTCTAGAACGTTTCTTCTCTCTCTGCGTTGCCCTTGTGTTTCCTTTCTGTGTCACCCCCTTTCCAAGTTTTCTGGATCCAGATGTGTTCACAATAAATCCTCTCTGACGGCACAGATCTAGACAGTCATCCCTCATCTTTGTCAGCCTTCTCTCCCTTGCAACTTTGTGTGTGTGTGTTTTTTCTCTTTCTTCAACTCACCTTCCTCTCCCTGGCGTCGGCTCGCTCTCTCCAGTGAAGCGTGTAAGGCGGTATTCTCTGGAGTGTCACTTCTGCTCAAATCTGAGATGATGAAGTGAACAAAGTAGACGTCAAACCTGCCCAGACTCCTTAGCACTTGTTTTAAGTAGCCCCTGCCAACAACAACAACCACAACAAAAACAGCCCTGACCCGAGCAAAAATATGTGTGAGCAACCTGAGCTCTGGAGCATTTCACCAAGTGTCACCAACACAACAGAGCAAACAACAACAAATAGAACTGAAAACAGCTACGGCTCAGCTCGAGGAGCTTTGACTGTACATGTTGAAATGAATTTAAATTATCTTGGCTTCACTCAACTGCCTAACACAACTACTTAGCTATTTATTCACGTCAACACAGTAGCTAGGTCCATACAACCAAGAATATATATATCAAAACTGAAAGCAAAAATACATCATTGGCTATTAAAGTATTAGCAAGAGAAAACCATAAGCTGTGTCCCAATTCAGGGACCCCCTCCTTCGAGCCCAGATAGCATGCAGATGTGGGCCACCTAAGGCAATGATTCAGCACTTCTGGCCCACTTGCAAAATAGCAAATGTGACCCAAATATCCTAAAACAAATGTGGGCCTCTTTTTGGCAAACAAGCAGTGCTCTGGGCAATGTGTACCCTGTGTGGACCTACAGAGGCCCATGTGGTGAATGGAGAATATGGCCCAAATAGCAAAGAACAAATTTGGGTGACCTTTGGCACCTTTGGTTGATGTGCATTATTGCTCTGGCTTTCATCTCATGCGGTTTGTGGGCCAGATTACAGTAGCAGTGTGACAATGTGGGCCAAACCAAACCCGAAATATGACTGTCTGGTCTAAGGAAGATTTCCATGATTCGCGTCACAAGCTCGTCCAACCATTATCGCAGTCACCTAGCAACAGAGCTGCAGTTGGACATGACGAGAACGTTTTAATGCCCGCTGTTTTATATGGTCCCTTGATTTGTATGTTTTTGTCTCATTTTCTCTCTTTGAAAAACAGTTTGTCACCAAAGTGCAATGAATCCACTCATCTGAGCCTTTCATTGCTGGGGGATGAAAAAAAACAGCATGTGTTGGCTGCATTTCAAGGGGCCTTCCATATGCCTTTATCAGACAGCCTAGTCATGCTGCTGTGACAGTCATTTCTCAAATGGAAATTCTGAAGAAAGTGACCCTTAAATTGTTTGTAAATTGTCCAAAAGTGTTTTGTGGACTCAAACACTTCACCCACCCCTCCATCTGCATAGTGGTGAGTAGATAATGAGTGAATTTCCATTTTTCTGTAAACTAACCTTTAATATAAAGATGGGTGGTGCATTTTTTTTTTTTCATTTTTACTTTCTCCCACTATCAAGAAATGAAGCCAAAACATCTTGGATATGAATGCTGACAGCTTGAATATTTGGTGCCAGAGTCTTTGAAATTACTTCCAGAGGATGGAGCTGCAGTGGTGAGGTCCCACCGATACATGCCCCTGACCAATCGTGAGTCAGTCCTGGTTGATAATCATGTGTTTCACTTTATTTTTATAGCATTAAAGGTACAGTGTGTAAAATTTGGTGAATCTAGTGTTGAAATTGCATTTTGCAGCTGAACACCCCTCACCCTCCCCTTCCAAACATGAAAAAGAAACTGTGGTAGCCTGTAATTGTCATAAAAACTCAAAAGGTGTTTATTTTATCCAGTCTGGACTAATTTAAAAACATGGCGGCCTCCGTATAGAGGGTCCCCTCGATGTAAATATAAAGTATTTGAATACAAAGGGCCTTTTCTGGGGTAAAGAAAACTGCAATTCATACAATTTAGATGAAACTAACTAGTGAAAACATCATTAGAATTATTCTACACTTAATTTCTGCCAATAGTTGCCTTTCACCTAAATCTTATACACTGGACCTTTAAGCAAGAATTATAGCAAATAACTAATAAATAAGCTTATGAACTAAAATATCTATCCAGTTAGTGTCACGTTTATCTAATTAAAATTAATATTTGTAAGTTGTTTTATTTAGTTGCCTTATTGTGGAAGGTTGGCCACTACATTTGTGTTTCCTGTCATAAAGTGTGTGGGAGTTTTATTTTGAAGGGTCGGTAACGGAAGTGGTTCTGTTATGGGAGTGACGTTTGACTAGTTTTGAAAAACTAAACGTGTCCTGGTTCAAGCCTCATTCTTCATGTCCTCGTTATACTTTTACTTTTCAGTACAGTGAACTAATCTCTCGGCTACATTTATAATGGTTAGCAGGAAGAGAGAGAGGGGGTGTGTGTGTCAGGAGCGGCTGACACACACACACACACACACACACACACCGCTGGTCAGAAACCGAAAGTAAACAGTGTTTCTCCTCCAGCTCTGGTGGAAATGAAGCCGTTAAATCAGTTTCCTCTTCTCAACTAACGTTTCAGTGCCTCGCGCACTCATAACGTGACTCGCGAGAGATTTCACCGCGCGGCGCGCACACTAATGACGTGACTCGCGAGAGGCAGGACACCATAGTTAGATAACGTAGTTTCTACAATTCTCACGGTTATGACATCGTGACGTTATCAAACCGCGGTTATCGTAAAACCGGTTAATCCCGACACCCCTACGAACCATTCACTAACATGGAGGAGGCCGGATTTAGGACCTAAACCGCTGTCAGCCACCAGGTGAGGATCCAGACGCTTTGGCTTAGCAGCCATCATATCGTCCATCTTTATTTGCAGGATATGCATAAAATAAACCGATTGTCAGGTGGTCATTGCTAAAAAAAAAAAAAAGGTTTAAAATGTCCTGAAAGAAGATATATGTAAATAAATACATTTCAACCGAGTTTATATTCTAACATAGCGTTTCTAAAGTGGAGGTGGTTGAAGTTATCATGACTCATAGAGATCATATTATACTGTAGTTTTCCTTTAAACCCTAAAAACAGAGACAGAAAGGAATTTAATTTGCCCCATGTGTGACTAAAGAAACTGGCACCATGATTAAATTGCTCGTTTGGTCTGACTGGTTAACACTTGTTTGTTTGTTTGTTACATGATCTGTGGTGCCAAGCATTACCCTGCGAGATGTTTAAGCAATCCAAATCTGTGTTATTTGCTCTAAAGGGGAAGTTTAAAATTGCTTTAAATTATTGTGCAATGTCTTCTGTGGCTTGTAGGGAGCTTTGTCAAATCTTAGACGATAACCTCCATGATGTCATTATAGCTGCTTTCAGACATGCACGGAACTCTGCAGTCCCTCTGTATTTTCGAGGTGTATGTGTGAACTCAAATGTCCGAGTGAAACGCTCTGCTGTGTCTGCTGTATTTCTCCGCCTGGCCTCCTGGTATAATGTCCGTAGAAAATCAGGTGAAATCCATGTGTGAACACAGTAGGGGATTCCCTGCTGGGGAGGGGGGGTTTAAGAAACTGAAAGAAAATAAATATCTCCTTGCGAAAAACCTGTGACATACACAAAGATGTCAAGAGAGTTTATGATGATAAGAGCTGAAGAGAAAGTCTGTGTGTTATCAAGAAAATCACGTGATCCATGCATTTCAGGTAATGGTCACTTCCTGCCTCTGCCTGCTGCACCCGGCAGCTTAACCTCTCGGGTGAATAATGTGGAGGATTTGATGCTGTTGGGAACCTCCCCCTGTGTTGTGCATGTGTGAAAGGCAAACTCTGGAGCCATTTTCATGTCTGAAAATGGCTCATGAGGTCACCAGGGTTATCTAGGCCTGGAGACAAATTTAGAACCAAATATCTGTGAAATAAACTTGGTCCATGGAGGTTGAAGCATGTGGTCATTGGCCAGGTAGAGAGGGTTTTATGAAAAGCATTGCAATTTGCATCATGGGAATTGTAGTCTTTGGAGTTGTTGTTTTTGGAATTTGACCCATGCTAAGGGATAAAAGTCAGGATGTGATGATCTCTGCTGCTCTCAAGTCATCCAAAGAGCAATGAAGAGCAATATTAACGATAAGTAATTAACACGGGTAAAGTAACATGTGTGTAATATGTGTACAATGTGATTCAAAAAGACGTTATTGTCCTGAACGTTAGGTACTTTCTCTTATATATGACTCATCAGTGGCAAATATTACTTATGTGGCAATCTACTGCTTACAACAGCATCAACCACTTGAGCTGTGCACTTCTCTGAAGAAACGTCAATGCCTGGCAGGCTTTGAAGAAATAACTCAAGACCTGCTGACCTACAGCACATGAGAACACACACACACACACACACATTCGCACTCTGTCTGGGGCTAATCTCCTATACTACCTCCCCCCAAGAGGAGCTTGCCTTTGATCAACATACATTGTCAAGGCACACTGGGTGACCTGTGTGTGTGTGCGTGCGTGTGTGTGGGACGGGGAGGGGGAGGTGGGACACAGAGAGAGAGGTAGACCTCTGGTGGGGGTTAGGAGGGCCTAACCTGAAGTGCCGGATATTGTTGTGTTACTTCCTGCCCTCAAAGCCTTGACCCGGGGAACCAAGGCCAAAGAGCCTTTTGTTTAGCTGACCCTCAACCTCTCCTCTGCCCCTCCCCGTCTCCCTTCTCTCTTTCTTTCTTCTCAACCTTTTTCCCTCTCTCCTTGAACCTGGAACATACGCTGATGCCAAACTCTTCGGATTGATCATCAAAAGAGACCACCAGCACACACACACACACACACACAAACACACACACACACACACATTCCTGTTATGTTGCCATAGCAGCAGATATCCTTGATAGGCTACCATGCCTTGAACCTGCATGTGAGTAGGTCATTCTCACCTTTAGGGGTCGGTTCAGACAGTTTGGATATGACACTGAAACAGTTGCCTCTAAAGGTTAATGTATGTTGAGACGCCTGAAAAGTCTTAGAAAGAGGTACATGCTTTATACACTGACTTGTTGGTGCAGAAAAAGCTGAACAAACTAGAAAGGCACTCAGTAGAGCGCTTACCTCCGCCAAGGCCTGGCAGACCCTTGATTTGGAGCCACGCCAAATTGCACACACTGTGAATAAGCTGCTTTTCGACGTGCTCCAGAGTGCAGACTTTCTGGAGGGGCTGAATGTGAAATGCAAATGTCAGAGTCAGTTGCTTTAGACATTTCCCGAAACCTTCCCTGCCAGTCCCCTGGTAAAATGTCTGGAATATGTCAGGAAAATTCACTGCGGTGGGAGTGGGTGTGTTGATGACTTTTTTAAACACAAGATGAACACAAAACTAAAAAAGAAAAAATATGCAAATGTCGTAGGATGAAAAAAGGTGTTATAAACTTGGGAAGACAACGAGATTCAAGAGCTTTTGGTAATCGATGCCAGTTTGGAAGTGCTGCAAACAACAACACATGATTTCCTTGGCAGAATTTGTACATCGTGTCCTGCATGCTCTGCTGGCCTCACCCTTCACCTGAATGTTTCAGACATTTTCCTGTTGTTGTAATGCATCTGACCAGGATGATCTCCTGCTGCGTTCTTTTGGGACATTTTCCGGAATCCTAAAAAATAAAACCAGCTCTAGATAACAGTCCTCTAAATATGGCTGATTCTTTTCATTAAGATCCGTGAAGTATTCCCTGAGAAAATTCTGAAAATGTCAACAACAAAAATAAAGGATCCCAAAGGATCCTTCTCAAAATATAATGGGCCCTTTTTGGCCCATGTCCCGTACTTCCAAGTTTAACTGAGTGATGTTCCTTAGAAACAAACAGACAGGGGTGAAAACAGAACCTCCTTTGTGGACGTAATGATCAACACAGAGGCAAAGTCACACAGATCACTACTGAGATAGCAGTAGGCTCTGGTTTGACCTGACGTACTTACAGCTCTGCTAGAGTACAATAAAATAACAATTACCTACAAACTTAGGCTCCACTAACGCAGCGCACACACGACAGTCTTTGCTGTACTGTATAAATGTTAATACCAAAAGTACTGAAAATCAATACCTGTGAAAAGCTGCAATGATCTCACCACCCTCCACTCATCCCAGTATAAGACCTACGTCCTGACAGCAAATGAACCACTAGAACACATGCTAGTGCACGTGACTCAGCTGTAAAAGTGCACAAGGCCACATAACTCATTGTGTAATGTAGTTAATATGTGCATGCATTCAGACACATTTCTACATGTGCTGACAACACATGCAGGAACGTCTGAGCACAAAGTATACACACACACACTCACTAAAAATAGTTGGCATATTAGAATTGCACTCAGTCCGCACAAAGCAGCGTGCTTGTCATAGCTCTGCTAATTATTTCAGGTTAAGTCCTGTTGTCAGTCATGGCGAGAGCGCGTGAGAGACAAATTTACAGGTAGCCTGACTGGTTAGATCACAAAGGGGATGATGTGTCTGTGGTTTGTATTTCAGAGCTGCAGGATAACAAGAGTGTGCCTGTCTGCATGTAAGAAAAGTTGAGACGGTGTGCGGAGAGATCCCGAGCCGCGCTGAAGGAAGGTTCAATAGATGTGAGGAATTCCTGGTGCCATTTATATTCCAGCAGGGAC